TTTCCACTAGTGGTTAAATATGCGTTTCAACCTGTGTAATACAAATGTTTAACGCATCTCAAGTTTCAGACTAAAAAGCAAATATTACTAATGGAAATGAAAACTGAATAGCCCAAGGACAAAGACATTTGACCTGCATGCGGTGCAGTCCTCTTTACACGCTGCTTCTAAATTGTTCCTGATCAAAATTACAATATATGAGAAAGATTGATGCTCCCAGCATAGGAAACAGAAACATATCCCCTCGATTCACTGTCACAAACACTGCACACAAGGCATTGTTCTCATCAGGTTGTTCTGCTATGAGAGCCCATCTATAGGCTACCTTGTTTTTTGCCAACCTGTCTGAACTTGTTTTTAGCGCAGGAGTGTAAACAGAGCCTTTTGTGAGGGCCACAAAAACACATGAGAACCTCCACAATGAATCAAGATCCTTTAGTATTGAGTTGCATTTTGTTTTGCGGCTTTGTAAAATAAAAGCTATAAACTTAAAGGAAATGTATGTCCTTTTCATACAGTAGGTTAACGACAAAGTGGGTCAGTTATATTTTTTGCCACATTTTAATCACATTGTTTTATGTAATTTACTTAATTGAATTTACTATATAGTGTATCTTAATTCAATGAGCTACAAACGTTGTATACACTAACAAGTTTAAATCACTAAAAGTTGAAATAATTTGCAGGCATGGAAATTTATAGAAACTAAAATTTTAATATAAATGAACCTTTTAAAACTTAAATTAAAACTAAAAAATATTACAAATATTTATTTATTTGATCGTTCGTTCATTTGATTGTTTGTTTAAGCAAGCAGAAATGATTTTGTACAAACACCGAACATTAGTGAGCATCTACCCAAAACTTCATGTGCAACAAGCATAAACATAAAAGAAAACAACAAAACAGCATTGAGCTAAATAAATAAATGAATTAATAAAATACAAAATTAAAATTAAAGTGCCCCTATTACGGGTAATGAAAGGTTCATATTTTGGTTTTGGGAGTCCCCAATAACAGACATGCATGCAAGGTCAAAAAACACTTTCATTGTCTTATAATATGGATTTATTTTTTACCTTATTTACTCAACGACTCCCAAACAATATGTTTAACGATTCATTTTTCCAAACCCCTCCTTTGCGTGACGCTAATCTGCGGTGATTGGTCCGATTGGTCTAATTTTCATTTCATCATGCCTGTAATGCCCGAAAAAAGCAGCGTTTGTGAGCGCAGTGCTGCTTTGTGTACAGCCTTACCGGGGAAACCGCTATTTTTTACCGCTCCAAAAGCGGCACCTAGGGGCAAAAAATGAATTTGCATTTTCATTCAGACCAACACGAAAAGACGGCAATATGCTAATGTTTCATGTTGACCTCAACATGAAACGGCTTGGGATTCAGAGTCGACTCTTTCTTTTGAGAGACAATAACTTTATACTCGGTGCATTTTCAGATTTAAAACTTTGCAGGATGTTTTCATTCACTTAGAGCTGTGTTACACACTGCATGAAAGGTCATTTTCAAAAATCCATAATAGGGGCACTTTAAATACTTTAATTAAAAAGTGCTGTCAACCGATTAATCGTGATTAATCGCGTTCCAACATAAAAGTTTTTGTTTACATAATATATGTGTGTACTGTGTATATTTATTGTGTATAGGCCTATATAAATACACACACGCACAGTATATATTTTGAAAATATTTACATGTATTTACATTTATAAATTTGCATTCATATAATTATATATGAAGAGTTCATTTGCAAAAACAGATGACTCCGTTTTTAACCATTTTCAAAAATCATGTTTTTTCATTGTGCATTAATCTCAATCAAACTGCAGTTGGGTTATTTTGATTAAGTAAAAATAACAATAAATAAATAAAAAATACAGCTAACTAACACAATAAAACACAATAAAAACATGATAACATAATAAAAAAACATGATTTTTGAAAATAAAAAAACAAAGTTATCTGCTTTTGCAAATAAACTCTTCATATATATGACATTACAACTTTCTTAAAAATATACATGCTTGTGTGTGTATTTATATATACATAATAAATATACACAGAACACACACATATATTTTGTAAACAAAAACTTTTATTTTGGATGTGATTAATCGTTTGACAGAACTAGCTAAATAATTAAATAAATTATAAATAAAATGGACAACACTGACAAGAAAGCAGACTAAAACCTTATCAATAGTATTTCCAAAAAATAAAAAATAATAAAAAATAATAATAAATAAAATCATATTGCTTCAAGAATCTTTTTTTTTAATTAGTAGTTAAACAAACAAGTGAGTCTACCTCATTTAAAAAATGTGACAGAGTAGGAAGATATAGGAAGAAAAACCTTGGATGGAAAATATGGAGGAAAAAAAAATCATAATAATTACAGAAATTAAGGACATATTCCATAGACTTATTGAGTGTCTTTTATGGAAGGATCGGACAACAGCAGTGATTTGACTGAAGGGATCGGTGTTGACTTTTTTTTTATGAAAATAGAACAAATAACAAACAGAGCATAGCATAAGACAGTCAGTGCTATACAAAGTGTGACATTAATTAGTAACGGGAACTGAAAATAATGTCATAATATTTTAAACATGTTAATGACTTTTTGTTTTTTAACAATTTCAGAGAAGATATAAAACAATCAAATTCCACTAAAAATACCTTAAATATTGGGGATGAATTTAAGCATTTTTGTTTATATATATAAAACTTTGCCAGCAATATGAATAAATTAACAATGTATTCAAGACCTTTGTTAACATTGTTTTCATAGCACACAATAATATCCTTTAAAGAAAAACAGTATTTATCCTTTACTAGATAAAAAATAGATTCTGCCAATTCCTTCCAAAAAATTTTGCCTTCCATTTTTACAAAAGGAGCATAAATCATCAATATCAGAGTATCTTGAAATTATTGATTTAACAGGGTAGACGGTATGCAAAATTTTAAAATGTATTTCTTTAGCCGATTGGTCTAATTTTCATTTCATCATGCCTGTAATGCCCGAAAAAAGCAGCGTTTGTGAGCGCAGTGCTGCTTTGTGTACAGCCTTACCGGGGAAACCGCTATTTTACCTCTCCAAAAGCGGCACCTAGTGGCAAAGAATGAATTTGCATTTTCATTCACACCAACATGAAAGGTCTGCTGCGCAACAAGTGGGCGGGCAATATGCTAATGTTTCATGTTGACCTCAACATGAAACGGCTTGGGATTCAGAGTCGACTCTTTCTTTTGAGAGACAATAACTTTATACTCGGTGCATTTTCAGATTTAAAACTTTGCAGGATGTTTTCATTCACTTAGAGCTGTGTTACACACTGCATGAAAGGTCATTTTCAAAAATCCATAATAGGGGCACTTTAAATACTTTAATTAAAAAGTGCTGTCAACCGATTAATCGTGATTAATCGCGTTCCAACATAAAAGTTTTTGTTTACATAATATATGTGTGTACTGTGTATATTTATTGTGTATAGGCCTATATAAATACACACACGCACAGTATATATTTTGAAAATATTTACATGTATTTACATTTATAAATTTGCATTCATATAATTATATATGAAGAGTTCATTTGCAAAAACAGATGACTCCGTTTTTAACCATTTTCAAAAATCATGTTTTTTCATTGTGCATTAATCTCAATCAAACTGCAGTTGGGTTATTTTGATTAAGTAAAAATAACAATAAATAAATAAAAAATACAGCTAACTAACACAATAAAACACAATAAAAACATGATAACATAATAAAAAAACATGATTTTTGAAAATAAAAAAACAAAGTTATCTGCTTTTGCAAATAAACTCTTCATATATATGACATTACAACTTTCTTAAAAATATACATGCTTGTGTGTGTATTTATATATACATAATAAATATACACAGAACACACACATATATTTTGTAAACAAAAACTTTTATTTTGGATGTGATTAATCGTTTGACAGAACTAGCTAAATAATTAAATAAATTATAAATAAAATGGACAACACTGACAAGAAAGCAGACTAAAACCTTATCAATAGTATTTCCAAAAAATAAAAAATAATAATAAATAAAATCATATTGCTTCAAGAATCTTTTTTTTTAATTAGTAGTTAAACAAACAAGTGAGTCTACCTCATTTAAAAAATGTGACAGAGTAGGAAGATATAGGAAGAAAAACCTTGGATGGAAAATATGGAGGAAAAAAAAATCATAATAATTACAGAAATTAAGGACATATTCCATAGACTTATTGAGTGTCTTTTATGGAAGGATCGGACAACAGCAGTGATTTGACTGAAGGGATCGGTGTTGACTTTTTTTTTATGAAAATAGAACAAATAACAAACAGAGCATAGCATAAGACAGTCAGTGCTATACAAAGTGTGACATTAATTAGTAACGGGAACTGAAAATAATGTCATAATATTTTAAACATGTTAATGACTTTTTGTTTTTTAACAATTTCAGAGACGATATAAAACAATCAAATTCCACTAAAAATACCTTAAATATTGGGGATGAATTTAAGCATTTTTGTTTATATATATAAAACTTTGCCAGCAATATGAATAAATTAACAATGTATTCAAGACCTTTGTTAACATTGTTTTCATAGCACACAATAATATCCTTTAAAGAAAAACAGTATTTATCCTTTACTAGATAAAAAATAGATTCTGCCAATTCCTTCCAAAAAATTTTGCCTTCCATTTTTACAAAAGGAGCATAAATCATCAATATCAGAGTATCTTGAAATTATTGATTTAACAGGGTAGACGGTATGCAAAATTTTAAAATGTATTTCTTTAGATTTGTTATTGATACAATATTTAAAGGGCATTAACCAAGCAGTCTTCCAATTAATATTATCAATAATAGAGTTCCAAACGAATTTTCCTCTAGAGGGATCGGTGTTGACTGGAGTTCAGACCAAGCCCGTGATGACGTCACGGGAGGAAATGGAACATGGAGCCTGGGCCTCAGAACCCAATAGAGTCTGTGCACTCCGTGGCGCTGGATACCGTCACGCGTTTCTCCGCTGACCGACTGCAAGGGTCGAGCTTTGGGGCTTTGGGTTACGCATTGCGCCTGGGTCTTTCGAAAAGCGTCTTTACCGTCGCGCAGCATTGAAGCCTGTGTGGAGCAGTCGCAAAGTGCAAAGCAACTTTACGCATTCAGTTTCTCAAGAATGGTTTTATTGTTGGGCACGCGGATATATCGCGTTTAATGAGCTCTTTTATGGAATCTTAGAAGAACTACAGTCTAGAAACTCTTTCGCTTTCTTTTGGAGGCCAAATGTGCAATAAGATGAGCGCAGAAGAAAAGTTTTGCCATCAGATTTCTGTGAGTTTGTGAGACTGTTATCTTGGGATGGTTGCAGCTGCTGTCTCTCGGCGGAGTCGCGAGATCTCCACTTTGACTGGAAACAAAGACAATGTAACGACTTAAAGTAGCGCTCCTTCGCGTAAAACAATGGAAACTTGCGGTTAATCAGCCGGAAAGGGCTTGTGGAGTTGTAAAAATGAATCATATGGAAAACAAAGGAGGCTATTCAACCGCTTCTTTGAGGATTGCGTAATGTGGAGAGCACCAAACCATGATACATCGATTTATCTAATGTTGCGTCGTGTCAATATTTTGACCATGACTTAAAAGCAGCGCTGATCTGCGTCTCTGCTTGATGGCTTTTGACGAATATTCGTCGTGTTTAGATATAAACAGCAGCAACGAAAGGCTTTCTGGGCTAGTTATATGCTAATCTAACCCCCTCTTCTTGCGGTGTGGATATCAAGGAAAGCAGGAGTAATGTCTGTGGGCGCTACTTGCGTCCTTTTACTGGCTTTCGTGCTGCTCAGGAGCTCTGCTGGATCCACTGAATGTAAATCATACGACGAACGCTCCAGAAGTGCGGGGAAAAGCGCTCTGTCTGGGGCCACACTGGACAGAAAAGTGGTCTGCAGCAACATGGAGCTCCATCAGGTGCCTTCACCTGAGTCATTTCCCAACAGAACAGTCTCACTGTAAGTCAACACTACTTTACAGTACATTACAGTACCTTTTAACATTGTCATGCATCTCTGAAATGCCCTTTACCAGTCATCACAGGGGTCATCCTGCAATTTGTTGCCTTCTGGTCCTTCGTCTGAAACACAAAACCTAGTTTTTAACTAAGCTAATTGATTTAAGTTGTGTTATTTGCACATAGAGGCTACCTGTATGTGACCCTGGACCACAAAACCAGTCATAAGGGTCAATTTTTCGAAATGGAGAATTATATATCATCTGAAAGCTGAATAAATAAGCTTTCCATTGATGTATGGTTTGTTAGGATCGGACAATATTAGGTCGAGATACAACTATTTGAAAATCTGGAATCTGAGGGTGCAAAAAATCCAAATACTGAGAAAAATCACCTTTAAAGCTGTCCAAATGAAATTCTTAGCAATGCATATTACTAATCAAAAATTAATAAACGTTACTAATAAAAAAAATAAAAGTTTTTATGTATTTACAGTAGGAAATTTGCAAAATATTTTCATGGAACATGATCTTTACTTAATATCCTAATGATTTTTGGCATAAAAGAAAAATGGATAATTTTGACCCATACAATGTATTTTTGGCTATTTCTACAAATTTACCCCAGCGACTTATGACTGGTTTTGTGGTTCATATGTTGTTTATACATATACAGTCAAACCAAAATGTATTCAGACACCTTCAACATTTCTCACATTATCACAGTTTATTCGCTATAGTTTAGAAAATGGTAATAAAATATGGCAAGAACTCAAGAGTTTAACTGTGTCAGAACAAATTCATCTTGATAATGTCAGCTAACTTTGATAGAAAGGTATGTAACAAAACATGGTCAGGTCAAAGTGTCAAATCAAATTTTTGGTCCCAAATTTTTACTGGTAGACCACTGTATGAAGAGTTTTTGGGTATAATATGTCACAGTTTACTTTAATTTGCTATCCTCACTTACATAGGCTACGTGAACTATAGTGTCCTGCACCCACTAGTAAATACATATCAAAAATTATATCTGGTGTCTGAATAATTTTTGGTTTGACTGTATACTTTATAAACCTAGATTTAAAAGCAAGTAGAACTTTTTATGAAGGACACATGCTATTAATTATTTTTTGTAAATTAAACTATGGTTTTTATTATTGAACTATGATTAAAACACATAAGAGAGTGGATACAGTCAGGGTGGTCTTAATAACAGGGCTGGGCAGTGAACACTTATAGCATTTTAAATGGTCATTTTGACTTAATTTTGGGTCACTTATTTGTCATATTAACAGGCCAGACTAGCAACACTGTGAAGTTTATCAAATCAAGGCTGAAAAACTGTTAAAAGTATGCTTGAGAATGTATGGTTGAGCATCTCAGCTGTATACTAGTTTGTTTACACCTCAGTTGTTACCTTATATCTGCTGCTTGAACAAAACATTTGTGCAGTTTGGTCATGTTTGTGGTTTTCCAAAAAATCTGTGGTTTCCTGTATCACATCAGTCAGTTCATAAACAATATCTTATCTACATTGTGAAATCAAATTCTTGTTTGCTCAAAATACAGCCTGTTAAGGCCAATGTGTGTCTTGCTTGGAAGCCGTAATGTCTAAAAATCTTGTGCAGTTGTTGTTTTGTATGTAAGTGAACTAGTATGATCTTTTTCTGTTATTAGGCTACTTAACACTAAAAATATTTGGTAACATGTTACACACTTAAGTTTAGACATTATTTACTTTTTACACTGGTTTAGCTTTCCTCTGTGCTCTATCAGTGGCTGGCGGTGCAGCCTTGTTAGGGTTTAAATGAAAAGCGGCCCACGTGACGGTGTCTTTCAGAGATGGATATCAAGCATGTCTGAAAGCCTGAATGGTGCTTTCGTCTGTCTTCATTTGGCTGTGCCGAGTTTGCAGAGGGAGGAAGAACACATGTAAAAGCTAAGACTTTGACCTGGGGGAAGTAAGCATACTGTTAGCACACCTTGATTTAGGTGTGTGTGAATTAATTTCTGATTTAAAAAGGCAAAACTGAAATTGAAGTTTTCATTCAGCCAAAAATGAAATTAAATTTAGGTAATTGGGTGATTGAACTCTGTTCTCTTCACTGTTAAAGCCGGGACACACCAAGCCGACTTCAAAGAACTAGTGGCGACGAAAGCCGATGGTGTTGTCGTCTCACGTCGGCAGCATCGGACCAAAAAGCTGTGCTCGAACACACCGCACAGACTACAGCCGACGGCAAACTAACACGTGCGTGCTGCGCATGCGTGAGAGGAATTAACTGTCTATATCAGCAGCTATCAATACTATATATTCGTCATTCAAAAGGAGAAACTGAAACAAAGATATACGAGATAAACGCAGATATACGAAACGTAAACAAAGCAGCACTTGCTTACCATTTTGAATATCAGTAACGTTGATAACTTTAATCATTTTAAGCGGCTCATGTTGTTTTGAAAACATTCGCGTATTAGAATGATTGGGAAAGTTCACATAACATTTAAACAGCCTTCTGTCTGTACCGCCTTAATTTAGGTGCTTGTTTTCATGACTTTCGCTTTAATTCTCGGGCACTGACTCGTTCGCTAAACTGAACATCCAATCAGAGCTCTCACTCGCGCCGAGGGCCCAGACGCCGATTCAACATGTTGAATCGGGCAAACTGTCGCCGACGTGAGCCCGACGTGAGCTCGACGAGTGGAACACACCAAACAAACTAGCCAGACCGTCGCTCGCCGTAGGCCCGACGTTGGCCAGCGGCCGACCGTCGGCTTGGTGTGTCCCGGCCTTTAGTTGATAAACCAGTCCTAATGAAGTTCTTCGGCAGTGAGCCACCTCGTAGCCAAAATTGTTTTTATGTTTTTACAGTTTTTGCATTTTTGCTATTCTAGCATCATTTTTGGTCACAGTGAAGAGCGTCCACACTGCTAACATGTTTGCCTGTTGAAATGGATGCTGAAACAGACAAAACGCACCATTGAAGAAGCACAAATTAAATGTCAATGTTTTAGCCCTCCAAAACAATTTCTGCTGAAACTGAAATTTGCTTTAGGAACCCTAGATTGATGTTTTAACTGATCCTCCGCGTTACACTATGGTGAAGCTTTGTGAGCTGGTCCAATTGAATGAGAATGATAATTAAAATTCAGCAGAGTCGAGTTCTCAGGCCCTGTACAGGAAGACTCAGCATTACAATAGCCAAACTTAAACTTCATTCATGGTGTCTCAGTTGCTTGGTTTGGCACATGAATGAATGCCACATTTGAACTATTTACAGACAGGATGAGGGTGTTTATGCCTTGCAAACTCAGTAGTTCATTCACTTCATTCAAAGTTTTCTTCCTATAGAATGTAGGCAGGTTATGACCGAATGTGGTGTTTCCAGGCAATAGTTATCCATGGAGTCCTACTACTTCTTTTGACCTTCTTTGACCCAGAAAATCAATTACTTTTTCTAAACCTGGTGTGGGAAATCCTTTCCTTCACACGCATATGTGGGGTCAGCAGGTTTATTGTGCCACCCTTTTAACAAGGTTTAGAAAAGGCTTCCCGGTTTACAGCGTTGTTCAATTTTAAGCATTTTGATTGTATTGTATTTTTTGTATTCCGGTTGGTAGTCAGTACTTAAAAAAATGCATCAATCCTGTTGAAGTCAGCATGAAATGGAAATTCACCCTATTTTCTGAATGCATGTTATAGATCTTATTGTGTATGATTCATCCATGCATAGGTTTCATTTTTATTTATTTATTTATTTTTAATCAAAATGGTGCTGTCAAGTCACCTTTATATTTATGTTGCTCTTTATACAGTAGGGAATAGGGATTATTTCAAAGCAGCTTCACAGTATTAAACGGGGAAGTAACAGAATCAGTGATAGAAACTTCATCAAATATAAGACAAATCAAATTCTGCTGTAAAGCAGCTTTGGAAAGACAATAGTGTCATTTTTTTTTTTCCAGTTCCGGTCAGTTCAGTGCTCAGTGACTGTGTAAAGTTCGTCAATCATCAAGTTCATCTTCAGCTCAACTTAACTTAAAGGGGTCATATGATGCGATTTCAAGTTTTCCTTTCTCTTTGGAGTGTTATAAGCTCTTGGTGCATAAAGAAGATCTGTAAAGTTGCAAAGACTAAAGTCTCAAATCCAAAGAGAGATTCTTTATAAAAGTTAAGAGTCAGCCGCGCCTACCTAAAACGGCTCGTTCTAACACGCCCCCACATGTCTACGTCCCTATGTTTGAAGATTTGCATAACACTGCCCAAATGTTCACGCAAAGAAAGAAGGCGTAACTTTTATTCTCGCTGTAGTATTGTTGCTGCCGCCGCCATGTCGTGAAGGCACTGTGTGCTTCGTTGTGAAAGTGAAACTACTTTGTTTGGTCTTCCAAAAGAGGACGACATCTGCTTCGTCACGCCTGGAGCTGATCCGTGTGTGACGCTGTTTCATTGTGAATGCGAAACTACTTTGTTTGGCCTCACAACGCACTGGATTGCTGGCCAATCAGAGCACACCTCGCTTTTTTAGAACGATGAGCTTTGTAAAAATCGACGCGTTTCAGAAAGGCGGGGCATAGAGGAGAAACAATAATGTACAGTATGTGGAAAATAATGTGTTTTTTTAACCTTAAACCGCATAAACACATTTCATTACACCAAATACACAAAATAATGTTCTTTTTAGCAGCATCATATGACCCCTTTAAGACATGCAGGACTTCTCCAATCATTTGCAAGCTCACATTCATCTACCTCCATTTTTGAGTGCAACGTTCACATCTCAAAATACTGTCAACACCCGCTGAATTGAACCAAGTCCTCCTCCTACATTTTTTCTTGTCCAGTAATCCTTTATACTTAGATGTACATCACAATATGGAAGAAAAGCTCTGTTGCTTCTTCATTGCAGCATATATGCTTGGATATGGAGTTTGAGAGTTTGTTTATGCTGTACTGCTTCTTAAATATATCTTGTAAATGGCTTTAGGAAAGTCACTAAAT